ATCCCATTTATCTCTCATGCAATCCATGTTCCCATCACTATATCTTCATCTTGCCACTGCTACCCACAAGATGAGCAGACAAACCAAGCAAACAGGCCTCTCAAATGTGACGGCACATTGCATCAGCAGTACACAATAAAATTTCTCTCATACTGGTCGTGTAGCTCTGGTGTTCTGTAGGTAGTAACAATCTGCAGGTCCTAAATAGTCTCTGTACTTTAATGAGAAGTGCCAAATATCATAGGATGGATGACATTGTAGAGACCCTCAAGGACTGAAACATACAAATGACTTTCCGTCTAGTGCGAGAATTATGCTACCTGAGCATAACAGGGAAATTGGAATTGGTCTTGGATGGATTTCAAGTTAATTTAAACAGGGTATGGCTATAGTGCCCATAAAGTCCATCCTTTTAGTGGCTATAATTGTGATAAAAAATGGTCAATAATAATACCCTGCCACAGGAATGTGGGAGTTGTATCATATTTAGTTATGAAGGTGAACAGTTTAATATTTTTTACAATAAAAAATGTTTTATACTGTACTGCTTCATAGAGCAGTTTTTAGAAAATACTTGTCTCAACTGCTGTACACCATGATGAAGTCTGATAGCTTCCAGGTAGAAAGGAGTGTGTGTTGACTGACTGACCCAACCTTGTCTCCTGATATGAGCCGCTATGAAAGTTTCCACATGACACTCGCAGAGAGGCAACGAGCTGTCACAACTCTCATCAGGAAGAACTGAGAATGCCTGCACGAGGAGATGATAAATTCATCACAGCGACATCCCAGAGAGAGCTCTGCTGACACGACCTTGATCAATCACAAGCAGAACGACAGATGGCCATAAAGGACAATCATGTAACTGTATGCTCATTAGCATAATCATATGTATATACAGAACACGTTAGACTACAAGGCCACATGGTGTTCGCACAGCACCAGTGGGCTTGTGACTGAGAGGTAATGTTATTGTCTTGCATGAGCCATGACAAATTAAATTAGGAACAATAGCAAGAACATGCTTCAGCTATTTGAAAAGACATATTTTCGGTCTCCTGCTGTACACAGACAGCAACTTTCTTACTTTTGGCACAAAAGAATGGCAAGGTTTGACAATACATTCTCTACATGTACATATAACTGGGAGGACCTAGACCAAAGGTTACTGAAACACATGGGT